CAAAGACACTAAAGTATAAGAGAAAAAAGAAAATATCTCTAAAAAAAAAAAATTTATGTAGAAGAAAAAAAAAAATAAGCAAAAAAAGAAGCTATAATAAGAAAAACATGCTGTAAAGTAGATGAAAATACAGAAAATTGTAATGTTAGTCTAAAAATAACATTAGATAGTATAATTAAAGAAGTAAAGAGGAAAATAATAACAAGTTAGATTTTAAATTAGTTATGATAGATTGTGATATCCTTTCTATAAATTATTGCAATTTATAAGTTTTATAAATTATAATAGTATAGAACAAAGATTACTATATAATAATTTTTTAAAATTTGTAATTATATAATAAATATATAATAAACCATATATACAACTTTAGTAATTATTTATTTTAAGTAATCTGTTGCATAAACAATAAACTATCTAATTATGCAGCTATACCTATAACTTATCTGTAAGTTACCTATTTAAATACTCTAATTATTAACATATCTCTTATATTAAACCAACATCACTACTATATCCAACTATTCAAATCAGTGCATATGGATTTATAGAAGGTCTGGTCTAAAACCGGCCCGAACCCGTCCTCTTATTTAATTGTTAGCGTATAAGCTAGCACTAATAAAATCTAAAAAGTTTAATTTCAATCTTTAAAGTAGTATATAAAAGTTCAGTTTTAAAAAAAACGTGAACCCTTATACAAAGTAAACCAAAAGCCTTTATTGTATGCAAAACAAAAAATATTTATTAATTAGCAAATAAATACAAAATAATAATTCCTTAAAAAGTTTATAAAACGGAAAATAAGAGAATTTCCACAACCAAAGAGAAATACATCAAATGCAATTTCTCTAATTGCTAAACTTTATTCGGAACATTGTCTATATCTGTTAAGCTATAAAGTACAAAAAAAAACAAGATGGTGTATAAAATAATATATAAAAAAATTTTTTTTTTTTAAAAAAAAAAAAAAAAAAAAAACCAAAAATCTCTAACAAAGTCGAATGCAAAAAAATAAAATAAAGTAAAATAAAATAAAATAAAATGTATATCCAAATTGTCATGAATAATACAAAAGAGATAGATAAACGCCTAATTTGTATAAATAACGATTATCATTAGTGTCTTAAATCGAAAACCCAAATCCAAACGCATACTATGATGTAATCGATTGGAAAGCAGGTGTATGGACATCAAAAAGGCCGGATCTTCGATGCTCGGAATAATCTGATACTGAATCATCATCCGATACACCAAATGGAATAGCTGATATATGTAAACGGGACGGGCGAAAAGCAAAATTTTGAGTTGGATCAGGACCTCTTGGTTGCCGAATTGGAAAGACAATAGGTGTGCCAT